TACTTGATAACGTATCAATAACATTGACGATTGTGTTGATCACTTTTGATTTTTAAGTACATTTTTGATGATAGTGATTTTACTTTCGTAGGAATTTAAATGGACAACATTTTTAAGATGTTTTGGTGCATTTACTAAAGTAAGCTATCTGAGTACTCCCTCCGCCACCGTTTTCAGGTAGCAATTTGTTTTATTTCAAACAAGTCTAAGGCCTGCAATCTTCTAGGAAGCATGATTTGTTGCAATTTAAACCCCTAAAAAACAGCAACCTGCTGGCAGGCCATTTATCATAAACGTACTCAATGCAGCCAAAAATCTCATGACTTTGATTTCAAATAATGCTGAATATCCTAACGTTTTCAAACTAACGAAAAATACTTCTGGGATAATGCGTCAAGTTATTCACGAGACGGAATATTTCCATCTTATAGATTTGGGCAAATATATGAAACATTACATTCTTGGGTTGAATATTTTACTCAGTGTTCATATAGCTTTAACAAGCACATACAGTGCTTTAAACATTATAGTGTCACACTGAGTGGAACAAGGTTAATTTTCAAACATTTTCAAAACCTAAAATAATGGAGTCTGTGTTAAAGACATTCTCACATGTGTACAATGTTTTCCCTGTCCATTTTAGCCGTTAAGTATGATGGCCGACAGGTGCAAATGCGTTGCAATGGCCCAAAACAGTTCTATCAGGAGAAACACGATATCATTTTAAAAACTAAAATGTGCCAAAACACATGCAAATAAAGAAACATTTTCACCAACGCTGCAATTTAAAAAAGGCTGCAAGAAGCTTAAAAGACAACGGACATGGGGACACTAAAAAGTGATGCACACAGCTGTGACCGGAGCGTTTGTTGATGTTCGGGGATTATAAAGTTGGCCAACTGTCGCTGTTGGCACAGTTACATGCAGTCTGTTTTCTCTTTTTTGTCATTATATATTAAATTACTAGGTTAGCTACATTAGCTAGCTAGCTAGCTTACGACTGATCTGCAATGATACTGGAAGAAAACCTGTAATCACCTTGTTAAGATAAAACTTACATTTTAGGTACGTTTTCAGTGAAAGTGACAGTTGGCTCTTTTCTCTGGCAGAAGTGTTCTGGGCCATTGCGGTGCATTTGCACCTGTCGGCCCCTGACGTTGAGAAATTCCTCTCAAATATTAATTGTTAATTTTATTAAAATAAATCCAAAAATTCCACTCATGAGTATAATGTTTTCATGTCGATGCATTTTAGTAAACAGGTCCCCCTTTGTGTTTGCATCTCTCAACAAGTAAGCACTCTTAGAGGACATAAAGAGAGGCTGCTAAATGCTCATACAAACTCCAGATTAACTTTAAAATATAAAGACAACTGTGATTCTTTCTCTAATGAAAATATTTATTTTATTTTATTTAATAACACCAAAATAGTTTTTGACAGGAGTATTTAAACCGGTTGCTTCTTTTAAACTGCCCTTCCTCTATTTGTAACTAAAAGTGGCATCAATTTATCTGATGAAATTGGCTCCAATTGGTGTTTCATGCGAATGTGTTTGTAAAAAAACATCATTGCACAAATCCAGGCTAAAAACAAGCCCACAAGCTTACTGTAAATACACTGATGTTAATACATGTCACGGCTTCAGCACATTGCTCTAAATACAGCCAAGCAGCTTTATGGAGGCGCTCAATAAACAAAATGCAGCCTTTTCTCTCCCATCAGCCCTCTGGCTAAAGCCCTGTCAAATTCTCAAATAGGCCTAAAAATAGCCAGTGGATCCTTTACTCTCACAATAGAGGGATTACAATCCAATCAATGAATTGCTTTCTCTAATTTTACATCAAATAAGAGTGCCTATCCGTGTGATGGCAGAGTACCACAGGACACAGGAGGCACAGACCTTTATGTTCAGACCATTTATAGAGGCCTGATCCTTGGTGTGTGTGTGTGTGTGTGTGTGTGTGTGTGTGTGTGTGTGTGTGTGTGTGTGTGTGTGTGTGTGTGTGTGTGGCATTAGTACGGTAAGACCAAATCAAACCAATTTCTTTCTGAGGACAAAGTACACGGTGCACTAGCAAAATGTTAAAGGATTAGCCCAAATAAAAGGAGAATTTGAAATAAAAACTGTGCAATGTATGTTAGCATGCAGCAGAGTTTCTATAAAGGGGCATGCTGAGAGGAAAATAAATGGATCAATCTATTAAATTGGTTTGGATTATAGAATGGGGGGTGGGGCGATCTGACGTGTTGCATGCATGCTTATATGTAAAGTTTACAGAATTACAAAAAAGTGTGAAATGTAATAATAATAATTAAAAAATATAAATAAAATAATAGTAAACTTAATAAAGCACAAGTGTTTTCTGCCATTCAAAGCGCTTTAACATGGCACACATCAGAAAACTAATTAGATTCAAACGTTTAAATCTTTTTGCTCACATAAATAACATAATATAACAACTTAAAGGTGGGGTATGTAATTGATTTCAGAAACACTTTTTGTAATATTCCATGGAATGCTCTTAGCATCCCGATGGCAATGAATATATTAAATGCTTTGATAATAAATACTATCTGTGGAAGCCGTAGTACTGTAAAAAGCACGACCAATCATCTGAGCCGGCCCGGCTAAAATAACTGGATGGCCTACCTGCCTGTCAGCCTTCCATCAGTGCAAACTTATCTCGTGCCCTCATTGGTCATGTGCGCGTTCGTTCGTGTTGGAGGAGGGGCTCTGTAAGGAAGTGGCAGATTTGTTCCGGCTGTGTATTTTCAAATTCTAGCGCACTCAAGCTGGTTTCTCCAAAATGACCTACCCCACCTTCAAGGAACACAAGGAGGTAAAAAAGACATGATAATAAAAAATTACAATAACAAAAATAATAATAAGATAAGATAACCATCTCAGTAAAACTAAATTAATAAACACAAACAAATATTAAAAACTATAAAACAATATTAAAAACAAGAATATTAATGATTAAAAGACCAATTAAAAGGGGGATGTTGCCAATAAATGCTGTTGTTTGAATATAATAAAGTTCAATATCATAACTGAAGACTGGAATTTAACAAATGGCATTTTGATATTGTTGTGTATATAGAACTTTACAAAGAGTGTTGCTGCCTCATGTTACAAACACTGAGTGGGAACTGTAACACACATTTACAATCTATGGCAATTGAAGGTATAGATCTTTTTGTGTACATGTCGTTTGATTTGTAATTATATCTTTAAAACTTAGGCTTTGGCAGGGTTCATTGGAGAAGGCAATAAGAGTAAAATAGAATTAAAAGCATTGTTCCAATCCGAAAAAGCCAGCACAATGTTGCCAACTGTTTTGTAATGGAAGCAACCAAAAGTAATGTAGTCAATAAATATATCACAAAAGTCACCAAGCTGGAAAGACTGACAACCTGTCCCTTCAGGCCTCCCTCCAAGGCCAATCCTCCAAAATGATCATTTTAAACATCATTACAAAGAGCATAATTAAGGAATATTGCCAGAGGTGGGAGTAAGTCCTACATGTGCAAGTCATGAGCAAGTCTCAAGTCTTGACCTACAAGTATCAAGCAAGTCCCAAGTCACTGTGGTGAGAGTCAAGCAAGTCAAGTCAAGTCATTGCTCAGGTCAAGCAAGTCAAGTCAAGTCATACGAAATTCTGATGAATAAGCCCAGTTTCCGCATTTAAATCAGTAAGTTAAAAGACAGTGGTTATGAAAATGGATTCAACCCATACTATGATCTTCATTACATACACAGTTAATCATTTGAAATCTAATTTAGACCGATGACAATCATATTAGATTCATATTAACCCCAGAACTGTAGACAATATAGCTAGGACTCAAAAAGTCTGTTCAAAAAGGCAGAATTCCAGGTAAGAAAATCATATATGGCATTTGCCATTATACATATTTAACTTAAATGTCTGTTAACACTAGAGACGCCAACAGCGTCACCACCTACATAGATATCATTTTCAAACCATTTCATTTGTTCCTCTTCATAATTTCCTTATAAACTAAGCAGGACGATTTAAAACTCACTTAATTGGTTTAATTTAGAAATGGCTTCAGTTTATCATCATAACTAGGGATGCACCGAATATTCGGCCATCGAAAATTATCGGCTCTGCTTTCGGCCGAAAGGGTTTTAGCACCGAAAAAATATCACCGAATGTCAGAGAACAGGGTTACGTTGATCATACTCAACATATTTGTCCGGGTGTTTTGATTTCAAGTGGTGGAGTAATCCCGAAGTGGTGAAAGTCTTTGCAGTTACATCCCCTCGAGAAATGTCAGCAGAACACGTTTTACAAATCGCAATCCGCGCCTCTTTCTCTGATATTTTGAAATATCTCCAAGCGGCAGACATGTTGGCTGTGAGCCAGCCGCGAGCATGGTCGCGCGCCGTGCTTGTCGCCGCGTTTTGATTACGTCATCACAACAACACGTTAGGTTACCAAACTTATAGGTGCATTTGTTGTTGTTGAAGGCCTGGCTGTTACAGTCTTTATTTACACTATTTTGTTGTAGGCCTTCTGGCCTAGATGTTTATTCAGTTTTAAAGCACCTTGGCTTTGTTCTGAATGCACTTTGTNCATATCACACTATTACAATACTTTAATTAAAGTTCAAGTGCTTCATTCATAATGTAACTTTAAGTAAAAACTCAAAATTATTTGAGTATAAGTATAAATAAACATGCAGAAAGATACATTAATTGAAAGTACTTCGATGTTCTGTTTTTTTTTTTATAGGAAATGTGAATTACTGTGTATTATTTTTTTCAATTTACAGTGTTAAAGTATTATTTATTTAGTTATCTGGTTCTGTCGATTCAAAAGCAAGTTGCACATACAATGTTATTTCTTCTATAGGCATATTTAAAATTGATCAATAAAAATGTGATATTGTAACGCATCCTTTAAAAAAGGATAACATGTTCTATCCGTCTCTGATCACAAGCCACACTGCATGAATCTGATTCTCCATTGACCTTTTATTGAAAAAAGAACAAAATATAATGAACAATAATAATTATAATAAAATAATACAAAAATCTGTACATTCCATGGTTTTGCAGTACATTTGGAAAACTTATACAAAATAACTGCAGCAGGGAGGGAGGTATTTACACATGTAGGATGTATGGAGCCCAGTGGCCTTCAGTCAAGGTTTTCATTTAAAAAAGAAGATACATTTAGTATTGATGCAAACTCTTGTGCAGTACACCTTCATAGGCCAGGGTTACAGTACATTTGGCTGTGAACTACGCTTTTTTTAAATCTCACATTCTGATATGAAACATAAACATCACAACAGAGAATGAAAGCAGTGTTGATGATAGAGTATGCTGATCTGAAGTCAAAAAGGGAATGTGGCATTGAAAATGTAAAAATATCTTACTTGGAGATTAGATATTTTGGCAAAAACTACTTTTAGCAAGACAGTTTTTACAATCTCCAATCATAACACTGTATCAGAATCAGATATTAGAAAGGAGACCGTTTTGAAAGAAGTGCTTTCACCACATTCCACTTCATTTTATATAACTTATAAAGCGAGTTTGGCATTAAAAATATTTTTTTTGGTGCAATTTGACTATGAAAATCCTTCAAATATCAGTCAGTTTTTATTTTAGTTCATCAAACACCACAGAACTTTTAAATCCTGTTTAATGTCCTTTGCAACTTTGGGTTATTTATACATCTTCACTTTGTAGGTTAAGGCTTGATGAAATGGCTCAAAATAAAGATAATTGTCGTAAAAAAAGAAAGAAACTGTACACACATTCTCAAAAAACAAACCCTTAGTAAAACTTCCTAAACGTTCTACCACTGTACCAAATCTAAGCAGGTGTTGTTTTTAAGAAACTCATAACTATGATAATAACACTCTTTGGTATTTTTTTATCAGCTGTAAAACAAAAGAATAAAATAAGCAACATTATAGCAGCACTTTTAAGGACATTCAGATTTTCATATCACTCAAATTAAAGTAATTTATGTGTTGTCAGTTTGTTAATACTACCCTGCTCAGTCTCTTGACATGAGCAGGCATGTTTCTATCAGTCCGGCCAGCAATGAACAGTATCTCACATTTGTAAAAACTGCAAAGGATAAAGCAGAAAACCGTTGCGGTCAAGTCAGAGGAAATCACTAAAGTCTTCTACTTTGTTACATACAGAACATTTCCGACTTCTGTGATGTCTGCTATGAGACCAGCTCGTGAACAAATACTCTACTCGTACTTTCTTTGTTGCATTCATGTATCGTTCATTTACTCTTTGGTTCTAAGAGAAGGCACTTCTAGCAGCACTTAAAAATATTCTAACTATAAAAAAAACACCTTTCTGAAACATCTTGTTCATGCCGGACAGAGAAACTGAGACATGCCTGCCATTTTCAAGTCATTTCAACAACTTCCTTCCTGTCTGTCACCTTGCAGTCAGCAGACACTGAGCACACATTCATGGGGACTTCATTGAGAATTCTTCCTTGTGATATGCATATGTTTCATAGTGCTGTGTTTTGTCATACTGTATGTAATCAAAGTTCAAGCAGACTCTTACACACAAAGCCCTAACCCTTCGCCGCTTCTCACAGCAGTACCGTTCGACTTGTCCTCTACCCAAGGCCCAGCTCGGCCTTTCAGAGCAGAGTTGATTTTAGAAAATCCCTCACATGAGGTCTGAACACTCATATTTCTGATTCTCGTCTCAGAGGCCGGGGCTCCAGCGGCACCGTGGCCTGGCTGTGTTCAGTCTCTGAGATATTGTCTGTCTGGGTGCCGTCGGGCCCAACGCTGCCCCCGTTCCCCTCATCAGTGTCCTCTTTGTTCTCTAGCGCCATCTCGTTTTCGTAGCAGAAGGAATTAGAGTTTGTGAGAATGTATTTTTTCTCTGCAAAGTCTCTCGCACTGCACAGAGGGGTGCTGGGCACCTCGTATGTCTTATGGAAGCGTGAGTAGTCGACCTTGTAGTAGTTTTTCTCCTCAAAGAGCACTGGCTCGAACCTATGGCCCCAGAGGATCTCGCTGGAGACGTATGAGCTGCGGCACTGTGTGGTCATGGCGGTCGCCTCAACCATGCCTTCCAGGATGACCACGATTTCAAACTCAGTGTTTTCAAGGTCCTGTTTGCTCATGTTGTAGAAGGGGCTGTCCTCGTTGATCTCGTGGACGATGGTGATGGGTGTAACCAGGAAGATGCGGTCGATTCCACTGTCAAAGCCGACATCTATGTCCATCTGGTCCAGGGGGATGTACTCCCCCTCCGCCGTTGTCCGGGACTTTAGAAGTTGCGCCCGCACATGTGCCTCCACCAGGTGGCTTTTCCTTAAGTTCCCCACACGCCACATCAGGCAGAGTTTGTTGTCCCTCATGGCCACGGTGGCATTATGGCTGAAAACCAACGTTTCATTCCTCTTCTTGGGTTTTGCCATCTTTGCCATGACAGCGCCGATGATGAAGGCGTCAATAATGCAGCCCACAATGCTTTGGAAAACCACCATGAAGACAGCGACGGGGCACTCGTCTGTTACATATCTGTAACCGTACCCGATAGTAGTTTGAGTCTCAATGGAGAACAGGAAGGCAGCGGTGAAGCTGCTCACGTTGGAGACGCACTTCGTAGAGTTACTTTCCAAGTCCCCGTGGAAGATGGCTACCAGCCAGAAGATGCAGCCAAAGAAAAGCCACGACAGGAGGAAGGCGAGGCAGAAGATGATGAACATCCACCTCCAGCGGATGTCCACGCACGTAGTGAAGATGTCAGCCAAGTACCGCTGACCTTTCTCGCTCATGTTGATGAACTGCACATTGCAGTGACCATCTTTCTTTACAAATCTGCTTTGCGGCTGGTGCCTAGTTTGCACCTTGCCCTTGCCATTCCCGTAGCCGTTTGGTACTGCCATAGTGGCAAGCTTCATGCCGTCCTCCTCTGATGACACAATGCTGTAGCGGCTGGCTCGCACGCTTCCCATCACCTCAGTCTGGGAGGGCTGTGCTGCTTCTGCTTTGGAAAACAGTCTAAGTTTCTGGAAAAAGCGTTGGAGAAACAGTTTTGAAACCTTTTGGGGGACCAACTCTGAGAGGAAATAGTGACAAGGTGAGGCGGGCTGAAGGGATGCCTCTTCAGCCTCACTGGCCCTTTAGATTGAGTGCAACAAGAGGAGGATGAATTGGTCACTCCTCTTTAATCAGCTGACAGGACCTCATGAAATTCATCTGTTGGAAGAAAGATAGAAAACCTCTGTCAGTCAAACCATTTCGGATAAAACTTAATGAAATCCTCATCAGGGCATCTATTGACAACGGTTATTTTGAGCAATTGTTGAAAGTAACATCTCAGAACTGCTGACTTCCTCACTGTAATGTAAAACTTTCGTGCAGCCTGAGAAAAACCCTTGAAATCTTTATATGTGTCTCTGTGCCAACAATATATCACCCAGTTATGACAAACAACAACAATGATATTCAACCCGCATCTAACATTTCAACTTTCACTATGAGAGAGGCCACCCTGTAATTGCACTCAGATCCCGGTATTGGTAATTTACAAATTCCACTTGTTTTACTTGGCTGCCCTTCGCTGACTCCATCATTTCATGCTGAATGGTGGGTGACAGCGTCCGTACAGGATCCCATGAACGGATGGTTTTGCAAACACTGACGGATCAAGTTAATAAGCCTTGACTGAGAAATGTTTTATTCGCAGCTCATTTCTCTTAATGACATCTCTTGATTAAAATACTGAAAGATACTGATAGTGCACCCCAAGGTATACAAATTGAACCAAAGCTAAGGAAAAATTATTCATGACTTGCACACCTGACTTTTATCCAGTAGTTTTCGCATGTAATTCATTTTTAAGATAGACATACTGTAGAACCAAGCTGTTTTTTGCTTGTGCTCCTTCTATCGGTTGTTTTCAACTATTATTACACGATTATTCAGCCGTTTGTTTTGTGATTTGCAACAGACAAAACAAAGATTTGCAGAACAGGCGCAGTTTCTGAGTGACATCATGGCTGACTTATAGGTATAGTGTATGCGGTCTGTTGTTTAAAGAATCTTTAGGGGAAAGTGCGTGCTTCATGCTTGTCTGTGCAGTACAGATGCACAGCTTGTTGACTCTTAGAGAGCCTTCAGGGATTTCTCTGCTGCAATAATGGCTGTCCTGTGAGGATTCTCCTAGCACCACTAAAACACCTCTCATTAGTTCTGGCTGTCCTAGCAACAAGTCTGCTGCAGTCTCACTGTGTGTCACACAGTTGTGTTCTTTATATTCTTGCAAGGATGGCTTTTTCTCTGAGGCTTGAGGGTTAGATATAAGAAGTGTGTGGTTTAACAAAAACGTTCTTTATTGTCACATACTTCATGTAAAGCTGCAGAGTCATTCTTTAAATGCACAACTGCTAAGTGAAACTGGCTGTTGCAAGTTGTCTGCAAGGCTTTTACACATGAACCACACAAAAGTGCACATTTGTATAAAGTTCCAAAGAACTACAAAGCACATCTTATAATAATCATCTAATGTACAACATGTACATTCAGGCATTATTCTAATGACGAAGGATGCTGTGTTGCTAGGCAATGCACAATACAAAAAAGAAAAAATTGACTGAGATGCAAACATTTTCAAGAAATAGTGCAACCGACTTTCTTTAGATTTAGTTTGTGTAGCCAATTACTTTTATTTAGAAATGAATAGTAGACATAATTCCCTAAATAAGAAAAACGCAGTGATAGTTTAAATGCTATATTATTATTATTACGTTTATTTTTTTGTTTTTCAAAGAGTATAATTAAATGGTATGTGGCTGTGAGTGGACAGGCAAAGCTGCTCTCAGAATGCACCAAATGCCAGCGACAAATGTTAACAGGTGCGGGGAAGAGAAGGGAACTGACTTCTGATGCAATCATCCACACACACACACACACACACACACACACACACACACACACACACACACACACACACACACACACACACACACACACACACACACACACACACACACACTCCTCACACTACAATCCGTGTTGATGCTTACATTCCAATCCCCGTCTTTAGAAATCTAATTTAAATGCAAAGAAATAGGCGAGGAGAAATACGAACGGTTAAGTCACAACTTTTTGGCGGTTCATCTGACGGTTGTTGCAGCAGAAGTCGTGCGTAAAAGCCAGGAAGTGGCGCGTCATGGAGAATAATGTAAACCATCACAACCTAATATATGTCTGCCAAACGATTACAATTCTGACATGCGTAAAACTCTTGTTAGGCGCATCACATCTCATATTAAAGCAAAGAGAGGTTATATGAAATGAATATCATGTTTCTTCTACCTGTTGCTCATTTGTGGACCGGTTGTTGAAATATAATCCAGATGGTTTGGGCCTCTGTTATCCTCGGCTGCCGTTTTTCCGCGCACTTGTTTGTTTTGCTTGATCAAGTGTAAACCTTGCCTCACATCTCTGGAGGACCGGTCTCGATCATGTGCTTCGCGATGAGTTCCCCCAAAGCGTTTTAAACAGCACGCACCGGCACGTCCCGCCCCTTTGCTCTGAGCCAGGGCCAATGAGGGAGAGGAGGGGAGCGCGCACAGTGAAGCAGCCGCAATTATGCTGTGTTTCTGTGTCATTTTATGTGTTTGACTGGGAACACAACATGGGGGTAATGGAGGGCAATTTGGCCCTAAATGGGCGATTCCAGTTTGATCTCAATTGGGGTTAGGACAAATTAAATATAGACATAAATAAATAGCAGAAAAGCATCAATGTATGTTTTTTTTATTGAGTAACTAAACGTTATTAAATGTAGTACTGCTTAATATATTCATAACAACCACAGGTTAGTTATTTGGCTGGCTGCAAACATTTACACATGGGACACTTAAAAAAAAAAAGTTTGATATCTGCCCAGATTTTCTTTCATTTCTTGCTGCGTTGGCATTAAAGCATTCCAATGAATTTGCCTTGTTACCACCTGCTGCTTAGCCAACTGACCATTACACTGGGTTTTTTGCAATATCCGTTGTTTTTATAGATCTTATTTTTAATGTGGGTATGGAAAATGTGTTCTGTTGGAAAGAATGACTCACCCAATAAAGGCCTACATGCCTGTATTATGATATGACTGTCTTTCTCCACTCAGCTATCAAGTTGCCTCGGATGTTTAGACTGTGCATCTGTTGCCCTATAATTGTAGGTCAGGCTGTAGCTGTTTTGTTCTTAAGCCACTGACTTAATCACTCTTCCTGTTAACTAATTCATAATCAACATTAACTATGTGTTTCTCCAAAAGGCTTTTGTCTTATTTTTAGTTGTGGTCATTTATAGCAGCATGTATATTTAGCCCAAACCACCTGTGTCAGTGAACTGTGTGCGTTGTGTGTGTTTGCTTTCCATGCCCAATTGCAGCCATAAAGAGAGCGATGCATGCCAGTGCTGCATGTTGACCACAAGGTGGAGAGCTGGAGACTGAAACACACACACACGCACGCGCGCGCACGCACGCACGCACGCACACACACACACACACACACACACACACACACACATTTATTTAATGTGAGCAAGAAGCAGACAGCAGCAGAGAGGAGGAGGAGGAGCAGGGCAGGGCATGTGCACTTTTCATGCAACTTCTGTCACTGCACCGATATCATCTAAAGGATTTAGAAAAAATATGTTATGTACAATAAATACATCATGATGAAATGCAGACATTATCCACTGGGCTATTTTTTTCTGTCTCTGCATTACCATCATCTTTGTTGAACAATTTCTCAGAAACAATCTGTTTTGTTACTTGTCAACAAAAAGAAGGGAACTCTTTGCAGTTTCACAAACTTAAGAATTGACAAACATGTGCAAAAGCTTGGTATGGACACTAGTCGACATAATTAAAGGGATAATACTACAATTCAGCATCTCAGGGATTTTTTAAATAATTGTATTAGTTTAATTCCATGTATTTAATGTTTTTAGGCTGTAGTTTCTTGACAATTGTTGTTGTCATCTATCATCAGAATCAGAAACGGGTTTATTGCCAGGTAGGTTCAAACATACGAGGAATTTCACTTGATGTCGTGGTGCAGACATAAAATATAAAACAAAAACTCCATATAAAACCAAAAATCTAATATAAAACAAAAAATCTTTAAGGACACTGTAATAAAATATAGTTAGATAGCAATAAAATAAAGCAGTCATTTACAGCGAAATAGGATGCAGTGAATTGTAGAATATGAAATATGAAATAAGAATATGTGCAGGAAGCAGTATTTGAACAGTGTGTGCATTAATGTAATGCATATAGGGATTACGTTGTGGCTGAGGTTAAGTGNTTGCGTACCGATGTATATGTGAAGCTTTTCCATAAGGCGGTTAGATCACCGGACGACGGAGTCGGTCTCCGTGTGGACGTTAACAGTAGCCCTGTCTTTGCACACGGAGACCGACTCCGTCGTCCGGTGATCTAACCGCCTTATGGAAAAGCTTCACATATACATCGGTACGCAAATGCGCTTTGTGACACAAGTGACGGTACGCATTTCAGATTGTTGCCGCGCATGCGTACCTGCGTACCACTTATGTGCACCCCTGCTTATACTCAAATAATTTTGAGTTTTTACTTAAAGTTACATTATGAATGAAGCACTTGAACTTTAATTAAAGTATTGTAATAGTGTGATATGAAGAAAAGGTCCCAATTTTGGATCAATAAAGTATATATTACAATTTATTAAGCAGTAAAATGTCTAAATATTTTCAACAATCTTTTCTAGTGCTGTATATAAAAGGTTGTCCTATATGCATTAAGTTAAGAATAAGTAAAAACAGAGATTCAATCTTGCCCTGTTCAGTTTTCAAATATTTAGTTTGTAAAGTCTTTTACATGATATTACATCTTTCAGGACTACTTTCTTCAAATAAGAGCTGCACTATTTGGATAGAAATAACTTATTGCAATTATTTAAATTGATTTTGCAATTGCGAAATGTCTCACCATTTTAGAGGGAATGGTCAGTTTTAAACATTATTCGCATTATCAGTGAAACATATTAAATTATAATGGGTTCATATTTTTAGGATGATCTGTACCAAACAGTTTCAAATTTGTATTCTTCCAAATATTGTGCTTACTGATATTGCACTATTCCGTATTGGTGCATCAATAAAATGTGGATGAATTATGCTGCCCTACTTCACATAGAAGATTCCCAGCAGGCGTGTGGAGGCCTGACATCCCCAGCAGCAGCGCACTGACAGTAACCAGCTGCCCGTTCTGCGTCCTTCACTGACGCAGGATGGGTTAACACCTTCTCTTTTCTCTCCAGCTCTTAACAGTCATTGTTCTCATCCATCTTTCATCTTGTCTTCCATCATCCGGCTCTCACTCTCTCGTGTAAATGATGTTTTATGCCGGATGTACTCGGGGAAGAACACAGTTTCTGTTAAACATCTGATTCTTTTTGACACTGAAATGGTCAAAAGATGCAATTATCCTTTAGAAAAATGTGTTTAATATAGTTATGAGAAAATGATGATCAACTCTGCAGTTTTACAAAGCTTGTCTTTCTCCAATTTGAGTTTAAATGTCTCAATTATTATAGTAAATAAATATCACAACTACTGTACTGAATGGATTGCTAATTCATTTGGTAAAGATATCTGTGGTCCCAAGAGGATATATCAAAATGACTTGATGATTTCCTGACTTTTTCCACTAGTACTTGTACTTGGGTTTTTTGCACATTTGCAAATGTTTATACGCTAAACTAAGAATATTTCACTATTACTACTACTTCAATTCTAACTCTCACCCCTCCCACCCTATTCATTCCTTAATCTTAGAACTTATTATTTAGATATTTTCTGTATTTTTTTCTTTATTTGCTTGCTTTGCCTGCAAGTCTTAAAATATTATTCAGCCTCAGTGCTTCTATTAGCCATTTGTTATTTTGAGCAAAACTAAGCCAACAGCAGTCTGTCGCTTTCAAGGATTTAATGACTGTTAACAGATATCATGCTGATACTGACTGAAATAGCTTGATTCCAAATTAATTATGCACGTACTTATCGCCTGAACATCCTTTTGGCAAATAGGATTAGGAAAGCAATGTAAAAAAAGATTACAGTCATTTACACACAGTCAGAGTGAGTCATACAGCTCAATTAAAAACTGGTATCAGATTGGTAGTCTTTACGAGTCGTTTTTCAAAGACCAGGTAACTGGATCGGGACTTAAAAAGGTCAAATTGGTGTACCCTTACTATTTTTGTCTTCATCATGGATTTATTTAGCTCTTAGTTCTAAAATTATCTAAATTAAAGAGGCCTTGTAATGGTTTTTGGGCTGTTTGAGTGTTTGAGGCTAAGGGAATAACTGTAAATCATACATCCAATAATTGTGATATTTGCAATATTAGTTTTTAGAAAGATAGTAAAGTCAAATGTATATTTTATCACGGTTTAAGAGCTCTCTTACAACTCACCAATCAGAGCAGACTGGGCTCTGGTTTCAGACAGAGGGTGAAAAGAGGTGCCGCAGCACAGGCAGTATGAGAAAAAGAAAGAGCTGTTTGAACATTAAAGCATGGAGACATGTCCCAGTAGAGACACTAAATACAAATATGAACCTGAAAGTAAGCAGAATATGTCCCTCTTTGTATAAACTGCTCAGAACGTACAGACAAATACAAAATGTGGTGAGGGGTCACATGCTTAGAACGTTTGAAACAAGCACTGAAATATAGCTCCTAAAATTCAGTTTATTATCTGTTAATATACAAAAATATATATCAACACAGATGCATTTTGAGATAAAATGATGAATTCCAAAGGAATTAATAACATATTGATTGTATTGCAAATGATCTCAATAATAAGTTCTTAGACAGCAGAGAAAGAGGGGGAACAAAAAGTCTGGGGATTTTCTTTCTAAAGCATAATCTCGTCTCTTCATCTGCACAGAAAAAAAGCACTGCACGTCAACTCTATGGAAAATTCCACGGGTTACCATTAAGGAAGACTGACACTAATGTCAACTACTGGAGTCGGGACTCAAGCTTTGAAGTAAGTGTGTGTGCGTGTGCGTGTGCGTGCGTGAGTGCGTGTGTGTGTGTGTGTGTGTGTGTGTGCGCGCGTGTGTGTGTTCTATTAATCTGACATAAAGCAGTTACAGTATCTGATTCATCTTGATCATTTTGAAACGGGAAGAGGGAGAGAAATGCGTCAGGATTGTTTCAGTTGCTTATTATAATCAGGATCTGTGTTTCATATTTCCTCTATGAGACATCATTTGAAATTGAATTTCAAACCTAGAACCACAACAGACAATTGACTACAGGATCAAATAGGCGTAGAAGATATTCACCTCATTTATTTACTTTGTTGTAAACAAAAGCATTTTTGTTTTTTTCCGAACACACAAGTAGTTTGTCCCTGAAGGGCGACAGTGGTGGGAAAGTAAGGAGTTACTTTCCGGTCACACC